CATGCGCGCAGCACGCGGCAAGCTGCGGGCCGGGCCGACGCCGAGTGCCCGGTTCAGCCGACCGGCAGTCCGGTCCAGACCAGTTCAAACCGGCTGGACCGGTTCAGTCCTATTTTTAAATCGGTTCGGTCTGTAAGTTATGATTCAAGCCCGGTTCATGATTTTAATAGTATTTTCAGTAAATATTCCGGGGTAATTTCAGTTCAGTAAATTCATGTCTGATCAGTTCATGTCAGTTCAACTCTGGTTATTCCAGTTAAGTCTAAATATCAAGTTCAGTAGAGCATCTTAACGAAATTAATCAATTAAGTTAACAGTCTGAGCATAGTCATTATTAATTGTTTATATTATATTTCAGTTTGATCAGGTCACGAGTATCAACACTGCCTTTATTTTCACGGATCAGGTGGGGACTCAGACTAAGTACTACATTGATTATAATTACGGTACCATGTTTGAGGTATGTATTCATGTCATGTATCTGCTCGGAATGGTCGCCGGTCCATTCTGGGTTCTAGTGGCCCTAGTCTGCCCACTAGAGTGTGCACATGGTGTCCGGCATTAGTCCTTGCCGGCAGATGAGGTAACGGTCAGGGTCACGTTGGCGTGACGATATCAGATTCATGTTCATGTTATTACCGGTTTCATGTTGAGGTTATGTATATGCCAAGATCATGATGTTGTTATTATTTTCAATGTTTACATTAGTATGAGTTTCCACGGAGCACAGTGCCACAGTGCTCACTTCCCATTGTTATCATGTTTTTCAGGTAAGGACGTCGGGCCGGGAGCGTGAGTTGACGGAGGCTTCAGGACTTTTATGTTTTGACTGTATATTTATTATGACGATTTACGTTTCCGCTGATGATGGTTTTGATAAACTTATATTTTGACCGGACTTTTGGAAAACTTTATGCTTTCAGTAACAGTATGATTTTATTAAAAATTAAGATAGCAGTTTTCCAAATTAAGTCACGTTTTACGGTAGCACCCCGAATCAGTTTTCGCAGAGTAAAAGATTTTATTTTTAAATAACTTTGCGAAATTTTCGCACTCTGATTTTACGATAAGGCGGGGTGTTACAATTGGTATCAGAGCACGTTTCTGCGTCTCTGAAAAGTTTTCAGTCAGTAAATTTTTTTCAGAAATACCTGAACCGTCATGCTCACGCCCCGCCGACGACAGGTAAGTGCTGATTTATGTTTTCAGTTATAAACATATTACTTTGTCTATGCTCAGAATTACGGATCAGGACCTTAGTTAAGATGCTCGAATCAGAATCAGACTTTAGACCTCAGGACTTTCATATATGACTCTAGAATTCAGTATATTCATGACTCTAGAATTAGTATCTTTCGATATGACTCTAGAGTACTTCAGGATTCATGTCAGTAATTATCAGCCATTTTTGGCAACTCGTCAAGAGATCTGTGTGTCTTAGTAATCAGTCAGAATGTTATCATGTATTCAATAATGTTAAACTTTCTCAATGTTCAGATGCCGCCACGTAGGGAACCCGATCATCCGGCTCCTACTCAGGCTACTGTAGTCGCACAGTTTCGCGACTATCACGCTGAAACATTCTCAGGGCAGGGAGATCCCCGCATTGTAGATGAATGGATTCAGGGCTTGGAGTTTATCTTTGAGGTCATGGAATGCCCCGATAGATATCGCGTAATCTGTGCTCAGCTTCAGCTCACTGGTGATGCTAGGCTCTGGTGGAATGCTTACTGGAGCATGCGTCCCGGTGAAAAAGCGGGATGTACGTGGGACATGCTCAAGGAGCTAGTCCGCGAAAAGTACTACCCCTCCTATTATCGGGCAGAGATGGAGCGTCAGTTCTTAGCGCTCCAGCAGGGCACTCATACAGTTGATGAGTACGAGAGAGAGTTCACTAGACTTGCAGCTTTCGTACCGGACCTGGTTGACACGGAGGCCCAGAGTGCACAGCGGTTCATCGACGGGCTTTACCCAGCAGTCCGTCATAACATTGTGGGACACGGGACACAGACCTAGGCTCGTGCAGTTTCTATCGCCCAGGAGGTGGACGCTAGCATGAGGAGGGAGACCGTCCGTGATCGTGCCCAGCCATCCGCCCCAGTTCAGCCATTTGCAGCTCCACCGGCCCTACCAGCTGCTCAGCCGGCGAAGGAGAAGAAGAGGAAGGGGAAGGGCGCACAGACTGACAGGAGGACCCGACAGAGACAGCAGCAGGTTCCACCGTGTCCAACTTGCGGATGACTTCACCGGGGAGGGTGCCACATGGGTCAGGACATTTGCTACTACTGCCACGAGCCTGGACATTTTGCGAGTCGCTGTCCGAAGAGACTTCAGCAGCAGCCTCAGCAGCCTCCGCAGCCACCACAGCAGCAACAGCCACGTCAGCAGGCGCAGAGGCCGCCTCAGCAGCAGCAGCAGAGGGGCAGACAGCAGGCCTGGGTCTACGCGGTTGATCAGGCCGAGGCAGCACAGCAGCCAGGTACTATGTCAGGGATGGTTGTGCTTAATGATATTCCTGTTTTCGTTTTGTTCGATATTGGAGCAACGCATTCATTCATTTCACGACGATGTCTTGATGCCATCGGAGTTCACTCCGTTACCGCTGTCGATCCTCTCGAGGTGAGTTTAGCCTCGGGACGAAAGATAGTAACCTCAGCTAAAGCCTCAGATCTTAGCCTTTCCATCGGTGGTCGAGTATTGTCTAACGACGCGTTTGTTCTCGAGATGAGGGACTTCGACCTTATTCTCGGAATGGATTGGCTATCCTTCTATCATGCAGACATCAGGTGTCATGACCGGGAGATCACTCTCTATCTTCCGGGAGACGAGTCGATCACTTTCTTCGGCTCCAGGAATCGTTCATTGCCTTATGTTGTTTCGATGGCAAAAGCCACTAAGTTACTGCGACGAGGCAACTGCCAGGGTTATCTGGTAAGCCTTGTCGACGATTCTCAGAAAGCACGATCACCTCATGATGTTCCGATCGTTCGTGAGTTTGTGGACGTGTTCCCAGACGAGCTTCTACGAGGACCGCCTAACCGACAGGTGGAGTTCTCTATCGATCTCATTCCAGGGGCCGGTCCAGTATCCAAAGCCCCATATCATATGGCGCCAAAAGAGTTGCAGGAGCTTAAGGCGTAGATTCAGGAGCTGTTACGACTCGGTTTCATTCGACCGAGCGTGTCACCTTGGGGAGCACCCGTTCTCTTTGTTAAGAAGAAGGACGGATCCATGCGCATGTGTATCGACTACCGGGATCTTAACCGGTTGAAGATCAAGAATAAGTATCCGCTTCCCAGGATCGATGACTTATTTGATCAGCTGAGGGGAGCCTGTGTGTTCTCAAAGATTGATTTATGATGAGGCTACCACCAGCTGAAGATTAAGGAGTTAGATATCGCTAAGACCGCTTTCAGGACTCGTTACGGCCATTACGAGTTCGTCGTCATGCCATTCGTCCTCAGCAATGCTCCAGCTGTTTTTATGGACCTCATGAACCGTATTTTCCATCCCTACCTCGATCAGTTCGTTATTGTCTTTATTGACGATATTCTTATCTACTCGAAGAGCCAGAAGGAGCACGAGGAGCATCTGAGGGTGGTTCTCGAAACCCTCAGACGAGAAAAGTTGTTTGCAAAATTCTCCAAATGCGAATTCTGGCTCCAGCGAGTATCCTTTCTGGGTCATGTGATTACTCAGGCAGGTATCGAGGTGGATCCTTCCAAGGTCTCAGCCGTTCAGAACTGGTCGACACCGAGGAGTCCGTCCGAGGTTCGCAGTTTTCTCGGTTTAGTTGGTTACTATCGCAGGTTCATTGAGGGCTTTTCTAAGATCGCCCTCCCTCTATCCCAGCTGACGAGGAAGTCTGTGAAGTTCGAGTGGACTGATCGTTGTTGTAACGCCCCGTTTGTTGATGAATAATTGGGATTGTTTATTTTGCATAATTGTTATTATTATTATTATTATTATTATTATTATTATTATTATTATATTATTATTATTATAATTATTATTATTATTATCCTTATTATTATTATTATCATTATTATCATTATTATCATTATTATCATTAAATGTCTAATTGTTTTAAATGCCTATTATTATTATGTAAATATTATCGTGTGTATTATATATATATAATATACTCGGTTTATGTAAGTTTATCGTCGCATTAAACAAAGTCTCGTCTACTGTTTAATTATCGAGCCGATAGGAAACCCCCGGGCCCAATTAGCGATTTATTTCCAGCCCAAAACGGTTTATCTCTCTAGCCCAAATTGAGATATAATTGGCCCATTTGGAGAAAGAATGTTTGAGCCCATAATAATTGTTCTCGTACAATTTCTGAACGGATAACTTCCCCTTCTTCTCTCATCGCGAGACCGATTCACACCTTATCATCACGTTCAAAAAAAATTGTTTCTGATTCATCGCAAATTTTAAACGCACGTTCTCCTCCTATCTCTCTCTCTCGCTCCTTTAAATTCTTTTGACCGAGAATTCAGAAAATCATCTCCACTACCTCAACTCTCCATCTATCGCTCGCACCTGCAAAAAAAAAAAAAAAAACGAAGCAGAGCACCTGCAATTTTTTTTTCCGCGTAGCTCCCTCCTCCATTAACGTCGGGAAGCGCAACCACCTTCCGACGGTCGTTCGAAGAACCCGTCGTCCGTCCGACTGATAAGGGACGTCCTTTTTGCATTCGCGAGCAGCCCCGGGCCCAGTCCGTCGAAGGTTTGCCGTTGAGTTCCAAAGCCATTCGAAATTCCCGCTATCCGGCACGTTTCCCATTCGATAGCGCGTAGTTTCCCAAAGACGGGTAACTTATTCGAATCCCCTCGTTATTACGATCGATTTCGTATATCACATGTTATACATATGTTGTATTCGGTCTATCGAAAGTTGGTTTGAAGTCGGATTTCATTCGGTTTATTTGTTGATTTGTATGTTCGTACGTATATTTCATTTATTCGTGACATTTTGTGGATTAACAAAACTCTCGTTTACTGTATAAGTCGAGTCTTGTTACAGCTGTGATGAATTCGTGTGATTTAGGTGTCTCGTTTTGTCGTATTGAGCCGTCGTCTTGTTGATTAGATCGTTCGTATCCCGGTCATTGGCTTTGTATTATTGTGTCGTTTTGTATCTCGAGCAAACCCGTTTCAAAAAAATATTTTGCGAACTCTGGAAAATGCTATGTTCAATAATATTATAAAAGTTCGAACCCCTCGTGAAAATTCTGTTGAAATTCGACCAATTGCAAATCTATACTGCATCCCTGTTTGAAAATTTTGCTGTCTCTGCATTCTATTCAAGTCCCAGGATTTGTTGTTTTTTTTTATAAATTAGTTTCAGTTTATGTCGCAATAGACCGTGTAGCTCAGCGGTCACGACGCTCAGTTTTATGCGGGAGGTCTAGCGTTCGAACCTCAAGACCCGCAATCCTTTTTATTTCTATGTTTTTCCAACAGGGCTGGCCTCCAGCCCGCGAGCCCGCATGCGGCCCGCGAATAGCCCAAATTCCAGCCCCCATCAGCATTCCAGCTTTGGGCCAAGCCAAGTTTGGCCCAATTACGTGGCCCAAATAGCTTTTTAGCCAAATGTTGTGTTTCAGAGTCCCTTTTTCGTACCGATTTTAAAAATTATTTTCAAATGAGGAAAATTTAGAAAAATTATTTTAAGTCTCGAAACTCCTATTTTAGTCCTCCGAGCCTTATTTTTAAAAAATGAGAGAGTTCCAAGTCCACGAAAAATCCGATTAAAACCCTTAAGACTTAATTTTTATTAAGTATGGGTTTTATGTTAAGTTTGTGTAGTGAGATAAATTATTGATAAATTATCTCGCTTAAATGTAGGTATGTGAGGAGTCGAGCCTCATCCTACGTACTTGCTATTGTGTGCAATATTCTACGGCAATTTCCAGGTGGGTTGTAATTGTAAAATTTGTTATGCCATATGTGTTTATCATGATGTTGATTTGGTATGATTTTAGTATGTACGTAAACCATGTAGCCTATCGGCGTGAGCCGATTCGGCCGTCGGTACAGTTGTCCCCGTCGATGTAATACGGTTACCTGCGAGGTAAGTCTCCGTAAGACCTAATGAAAGGTCGTGCCTTGTAGTATGGCACGTACCCCCATGAGTTAGGGTAATGAATCCCCTTTCTTTGGCTAATGAAAGATGTGTACACGTGGGTATTATGTTGTGATGTGATTAGGAGACGTGACAGATTAATTGTTTTATGTTCATAGTCTAACCATGCCTTCTCTTCATTATTTATGTTGTGATATATGTGCATAGTGGTGAGCACGCTTTTCATCTTGTGCTCATCCCCACCTGCTCTTCACCGATGCAGGTTAAGCAGGAGCTGGGTGACGAGAAGAGGCGAGTGGGTCGGTCATTTCATTATGCATTTTATGCTTCCGTAGAATAAATAAGGCTTTTATGGACCTTTATGTGGAGACTCGTCTAAAACTCTTTCCAAAATTTATGACATGTTTGTTTTTTGGAAATTTGTAGAAACCTTGATTATTGGGTATAATGATGTGGTTTGATTATTCATGTTGAGTATTAAGTCTCGTATGATGTGTTTTGGTTAATGAAAACTATTTGTGAAAACCGGGTAATGAATCCCCGTGGGCCCAGATAAGACTTGGGTTATGAAAATGTTGTTTAACACCCACTAAATTTTCGAAAATGATTTTGAAAATTTTATACTGGTTTTTGGAAAATCTGGAATTTCTGTAAAATCAAAGTGGGGTGTTACAGTTTGGTATCAGAGCCAGTCTGCGTTTCTGTAGACTGACACATATGTGATTATGTGTTTAGACCTTGTGTTATGACCACTCGTCTCCGTCACTCCGCGCTGCTTAAGGTATGTTTGATTTAAGTATTAATGAAAATACTTGATATGTAAATAGTACACATGTAGTAATGAAACTACTTGGATGAATTTGTGATTTGGGGCTTAAGATCTATCC